GACGAAAAGCGCAAGAAACAGAAACGCCACCGGATCGGCGGCACTGGCCGGAGATCATTCCAATCTCAACGGTATGCTTGTGCAGATGTTTGCTCTTCGAGTGATTCCCCAAATGGCTAGGCCAGGCCGTGGCGGCGAGACATCCCTCCAACATGTGGAGCGCGAAGCTTTCATTTGAGGAAGATCAGACACACTTTTTAGTCAGCAGGCCCAAAGGAGCGGAAGAAGCGGTCAAGCGCAGGACCGGCTAACGACGGGGAGTGCCGAGAGCTAATTGGGGCACGACGGAAAAGGGTGGAGCGGAGCAAGGGACGGACAGAGCCGCTCAGATCATGTAGAGCTTTGCGGATGTGCCGGCGGAGGGGACGTGCGGGCTGCGTAGCAAGCAGGATGATCAGAGACACATACAGATATCGCTCGAACTCTGTGCGCATTTCGTGGAGCTGCGTTGGGCATGCCATCACTGGCGTGCGGAGCGCGCACGGAGCGGCGCCGGAGACGCCGCCGGGCGTGCCCTGTGCCGATCCAGAAGATCTGCGTAGAACTGTCAAGCATGTATGTTTATGTCATGTGTAACGCGTCGAACTATAGACAAAACTGGTAGTAAAGATGCGCGATGAGGATGCAGGGGCCTTGGGCGCCCATGCCAAAGCTGTTCGAGCGCGGCTGGCCATCGAAAGTGGTTGAGGATGGACCGAAGATGACCGAAGAGGCAAGGCTGCAGAGCTACCCTTTGGAAGTTGATCATCTTACTATCAGTGTCGACTGTAGGACGAGAATGATGTCATGATTGGCTCAGGATGCGTTCCAGGTGTTCCAGGGGATTCAGCGGCCCTCGTGCCTGCAGCCCGTGTGGAACACGGCGGGGATCTAGGACATCCTGAAAACCCGGGTCAGAAATCTTCGGACGCACGCAGCATTATCGCGACCTCTTGCTCCTCTGACTCGTAATTTTAGACAGCCGCCATGGATACAGAAAAAATGGGTACGATGCCCAACAACAGATGTGGTCTAAAATCAATCGCGGCCGCTGTTGGGCAGGCAGCCTTCTGTCTCAAATGGACAACTTCCGTCTCGAAACCGATAGCGGGTCCTGATAAAAGATGAACAGGGAATGCTGTCGGTGATTGTACCCATTCTTGCCTTGCAAAATGACATGACGCGCTCCCCTTCCCGGCTACCGCTGTGCACGCCAGCGTTCTCAACGTGCTCCGCGATGGCGTAGTTCAAGATCGTCCCGTTCTGGCCGATCGCGTCCAGCTCCACCTGCGGGCGCGCCGAGGGGGGAGGCCCCCTCCGCAGCGAGGGGGGCCATTGCTACTCGACGAGGGGGGAGCCCAATGGCATCTCGGAGGCGTGGTCTACAAGGCAAGCCGATCCACCACAAGCAGCTCGTGCCCAGATCTCCGTCCGCCATGCTCCGTGGCGTACCGCGCTGGCGCTGCAGCGTCGAGCAGAAAGGATGCAGGCCACTGGGCTGCTCGTTCGGCGGCGGGGGGGGGGAGCGGGCAGGGAGGGGGCGCGGGGGGAGAACGCGTGTGCAACAGCTCGCGTCGAGGTGACGTCGAAGCTGGCTCTGTAACCGCGCGGATCGCCCGGACCTGCACGACCGCGGCCCTCCGGGAGCGCGAGCCGATGGACGCCAGGCGATGCCAGGCCACCAGCAGCGCCAGGCTCGCCGCCGCGCCAGCGCGGCGCGGGTCTCTCGTGTGCTTGTTCACCTTCGCCCCCTCGCCCTTCGGGGGCGTCTGGGGCTCCATGGCCTGCTCTGTGACTGTGCCTCCCCCCGCTTCGTGCGCTCTCCTCTTCTCGGCTCTCCTCGCCTCCCCCAGGTCCGACTCGTCGTGCGCATGCGAATGGACCCGAAGCGGTTGTCGTGCCGACGCGCCCTGCTGGACGCATGGCGTGAAGGAGTGAGTGTGACTACCTACCAAACCACCCCAACCCAACCAGAAATCAGAGTTGGGCTCGTCGATGTCCAGTGGGGGGTACTCCCGAACATCGAGGAAACACGATGGAACCCGTACACCCCCCAACCCGAAATTTGGGGTGGTCTAGGGCCTTCGGGTTGGGTGGGGGGGGGCTTGGTAAGTAGTGAGAGTGCCCCCCCTCCTCCCCCCTGTGTTCCCCAGAAAGAAAAGGAGGACCAGAGCAAACCAAAGGTGCATCAGCGATGCTGCAGTGCAACTTCCCGTCCAAGGCTCCCTTCCTCACGCGTCTCTACCGAGCACTTTAAACGGCGCCCCGATGGAGACAGAACAGCGCTATACAGCCTGCCATTTGGGTGAGGGCTCCGTTTTGAAGGAGAAACTGTTTTGCACTCTTCCTGGCGCGTAATCAGGATTGCGAAGAATTGCAATCACACGGTGCCACAAGGTGTCTAGCGGGATCCATCTTTGAAACAAGGACCGCCCCCCCATCAGTAACATTGCAACGCAAGTTTACACATGTGGTCTTGACGTTCAGGGAAGTCTCAAGCGAGATCTCCATTTTGAAAAGTAGTCGTCCTCGACCCGACCAGTACTACAACTGATGTCGCTTCGAGTAAGAAGGCTCGAGCAGTCTTAGGCGGTAGCCCCATTTTGAGAAAGAAGCATCCTCGATCCTTCCAACTGCTGCATGCTTGTATGGAGAATGCACGTGGCGCTCAGGCGAGGGCCCCAGTTTGAAGACGACCTGTGCTCCACTCTTATCACTCTTGCCAGATGTTCAAGGATCCCCCTCCATATTTGAGGTTGCGTTGAGCTTTAAGACGACTGTGCACGGCGACCTGGCGAGAACTCCATTTTGAAAAAGGCCTTCCTCCATCTTTGAATGTGTCGCAACACTGTAAGCTTCAATTTGTGATGTTGTAAGGGGATCTCAAGCGAGAAACGCGCTGCCTGACCTAGCGACAAGTCTGGAGGTGCGACAAGGAGAAGCGGTCTAGTTATCAGGAGGCAGGGCTCGACCTAGGCACGGTTTCTCGTTATCGTTTTGCGTTCGCTTCCCCTCGTTGTATTCCTTCCGCCTTTCGCGACGAGGGCGCCCGTCTAACCGCCCGCCCCACGCGCAGCCCGAGTGCCCGCCTACCGGGCTCCTCGCGTTCGCGTTCGCTGACGGGGGGAAACAGTGAGGGGCAAGGATGGGGGGACTGGCACACGTGGGGAGGGAGGGAACATCGACGTGGAATCGGCAATGCATCGCCGATCGATCGGCGATGCACACCCAGCAGTGAATCCGAACGCTCCTGGGCAGGTTGGGGCTATCGGCCCCCTATCGGCGATCAAAGGGCGAGCAGGGGTCGAGTGCCCGCCTGCTGGGCCGCCCATGGACGCTCGTTGACGGGGGGGGCACACTGCCCACCCACCAGGCCACCCCGACCCATGCCGAAGTCACCGTTGGGTCTGCCAGCTTCCAGCGGGAGGACGTCCTGCGGCATCGACAGGACACAGCGGAACCCGCGCGCCCCCCCAACCCGAAATGTGGAGGGGTCTGGGACCATCGGGTTGGGCTGGGGTGGCCTGGTGAGGTGCGACAAAGGCGGGGGCGAATATTCGTGCACGTTTCTTTGGGACCCAGGGGGGCAGATGCCAGCCGTCCTTTTTTCTCATCACACCATCGCACCCGGCCAGGGAACCTACGCAGCCGCCGTCTTTCTCGACAGTGGTAGCTGCGAGCGCGCCAGGTACATGATCGCCTCCTGCTTGCATTGCGGGGCATCAGAAACGAACAAGACAGAAAGAGAGAGAGAGAGAAACTAGCAGGCCAATGAGCACGCTGAAGAGAGATGAGGGTGACCAAACAAAAAGCAAAGGAGGTTGCCCAGCTGCAGCATGCTCGAGTCCCGTCGGCTTGCTGCCTTGTGTGGCAAGCTACTTAGCGAGGGCCGATAGGCCAGACAGCGGCGCTCTGCTTGCGTCGCCAAGTCGCTAGGCGAGGACGAAGCACTGAATGCCCCTAGATTGGGGTCGCGACAAGGTCATCTATATCACCAATTCGCAAATGCCTTGCGCTGACCAGTCTCTCCCGTGGCATGACCACACGTGGGCAAAGATGCCACGACACGAAGCGGCCGCTCTGCCCAAGGGCCCTCAGATATACAGTTCCAGGACTTGGAACGCAAGAGAATAATCGGTACAATCACTGCTGTGCCGTGGACATGAGGCACAGCAAGCATGCTTACACACAACTGTCAAGCTAAGCACTCTTCTTCGGGAAGTTGCACAAAAAATGCGACACTGCCTGAGCTGGCCCCACAAACGATCTGAGGATGCTTCGTCATGCAGGCGATCCATATGCCTCACTCACAATGCACTGGAGCGTCGTGAACCATGTGCATCATACGTCTCAGTAGCAGCCCGTGTTGTTGTACCTGCACGGCGAGTTCTTGAAGCAGCACAGGTGGAGGGGGCACATGGAGTCGTAGACGATAGGCAGATCCGTGTTCATGCCCTCCACTTCCATGCACTCGTCGTCGTTTGTGGGCGTCGTCTCGGCGTCGTTCGTGGGCGCCGTCCTCACCGTCTCCTGCGCCAAGGCTGCGGAGTAGCAGCCCGTGTTGTTGTACCTGCACGGCGAGTTCTTGAAGCAGCACAAGTGAAGGGGGCACATGGAGTCGTAGACGATAGGCAGATCCGTGTTCATGCCCTCCACTTCCATGCACTCGTCGTCGTTTGTGGGCGTCGTCTCGGAGTCGTTCGTGGGCGCCGTCCTCACCGTCTGCTGCGCCAAGGCTGTGGAGTAGCAGGCCGTGGTGTTGTACCTGCACGGCTGGTCCCCGAAGCAGCACAAGCCGGGGCAGCTGGAATCGTAGACGATGGGCAGGTCCGTGTTGATGCCCTCCACGACCTTGCACTCGGCGTCGTTCGTGGGCTTCGTCCTCACCGTCTCCTGCGCCAAGGCTGCGGAGTAGCAACCCGTGCTGTTGTACCTGCACGGCGAGTCCCTGAAGCAGCACAGGTGGAGGGGGCACATGGAGTCGTAGACGATGGGCAGATCCGTGTTGATGCCCTCCACTTCCATGCACTCGTCGTCGTTCGTGGGCGTCGTCTTCACGCTCATTTGCTCATGTCGGTTCCCCTGCATCATCTGCGAGCTCTTCTGGAGCATGCCAGTGTCATCCTGCTCTCCCGCGGCGCACTGCTGCCCTACGGCGCAGGACGTCTGCGGGCCCGAGGCGTGCGCGAGTGCCAGCAGCGAGGCGGCGATGAGGAGCGCCATCGGCTGAAGATGTTAGTCCTTCTCGCTTTTATCAAAAGCGCCCTCGAGCCGAAATTGCTACGGAGGCATTTCCGAGCCGTCTTGGGACCCCTCAGAGCAAATTTCCTGCACTACTCCTCGATTGCCCCCCCAGATACTCCTGGAGTGGGGGAGACGGGTCCTGGACCACGGGGCCTTCCCCCAAGACCAGCTTGTCGTCCTCAGTTGTTTCCTGCCCAACCCCGGGGCCCGTGGAGGGCCCCGGGAGCCCGGGAACAGCAAAAAACCTCAGGACCCACTTCCCTCGGGACCCGCCTCCCCCATGGCGACTCCTGTTGCCCCCCCGCTCTACCTTGGCGGCGCGCACAGGGGGGTAGGGGGAGGGGGGAAAGGCTTCTTAGGAGGTTGCTTCTTAGAGGGCGCCGACCTTACATCTACAGGTAAGGCCCGCGCCCTCTAAGAAGCAGGGGCGCTTCTAAGCAGCCTTCCCCCCTCCCCCACACACCCCCTCTGCGCGTGACTGAGTGTTGCCCCCGCCCCGCTCCACCGAACGCCCGTCCCGCTGGCCGCTCGCCCGCCTCCTTGGCCCCGGAGATGTACTTCGAGATCACCACGGGGTACTGCGGCCGCGACCGAGCGGCGGGGTCGCCGAGCAGGCGTCGCGGCGGCGGCGGCGGCCGGGGGGGCGGCGAGCAGGCTGGACGGGCGCGGCGAGGGCGGCGACGACGACGAGCCCAGGCAGCCGAAGCTGTGAGCCCTTCCGCGTGGAAGTCCCGCCCCCTCTCCTGGGGGGCGGCCGTCTTCCGTCCCCGATCCGCCCCTCCTGGCCCGGAGGCCCAGTAGCGGGCCCCTGAGGGCCAAAGCTAGGGGGAAAGCAAACCTGCCTCGCTCTTGACCACCCTCGCTTCCACGAGATACCAAACGATGCCAAACCACGGCCTGTACTGGTCGGGCCGCTGGACGAGGAGGCGCGTGGTCTGACTTGGTTTTGCCTGGAAGCGAAAGCGGGGTAGGTAATTCACGCTGAAAATATCCATGGGAAAACTGCGGTGCCGGACTGGACAGGCCATGCCGCTGCAGACCTGGAGGGGGTGGCGGGGTGGGGCGGCGGCGGCGCCGACGGTGGTCGAGGGAAACGAAACTGAGAAGCAGCTCTCGTCGGGAGCTCCGCGAAGACTTCTTGGCTCTGCGCTGCACCCCCTGGAGCGCGCCGGGGGTGGCGCTGTGGAGGGCCGTCAGGGCTGTCCTCCAGCGCCGATCCGAGAACTCCGCTCGGCGCTCCAGGAAGATGTTGTTTCTGTGGAACGGACGGCGCAAAACCCCCGGAATGTTTGGGTGTTCACGCGGCTGCTTCGTCGACGCGAGGCGAGGGCGCTGACGCGAGACGCTCCCGACGGCGCAGAACCCCAGGAAGGTTTGTACTTTTACACGGCTGTTTCGTCTTCTTCTTCGAGGCGAGGGCGCCGACGCCGACGAGGGCGGCCTCTGCGGGAGGGCGGGGCCAGGAGGAGGAGGAGGAGGAGGAGGAGGAGGAGGAGGAGGAGGAGGAAGAGGAATACTAAGAAGAACGGCGGCGGTCGGTCCGAGGGCGCGTCCTCGGCGCGGCCCCTCCGCCGCTTCCCAGCCTCCGGGGCGCCCGTGCCGCCCTCGCCCCCGGGCGCCGCCCGGGAGAGCTGCGGGGCAGGCCGCCGCTGCCGGGGTTATCGGCGGAAAGAGAGAGAGAGAGAGAGAGAGAGAAAAAAAAAAAAAAAAAAAAAAAAAAGGGGGTGGCCTTCTCGGGTCGGGCGAAAGGGGGGGATAGCAAAGGAGGGGTTCGAGAATCAGCTCACGTAGCTGACTTTCCCGGCGCCTCCCGGCGCCGGAGGCGGCGATGTATCAAGGAATGGGCCCCTCGGTGGGGCGAAACCAGCTGCATGCAGCAAATGGCGTAACCCCCCCTTTCCCAATGCCCCCCTTTCGCGCGGCCCGACCTTCTCAGAAGGCGGCGGGGTTTCTCAGAAGGCCCCGGGCCTGCTGAAAAACGTGCTGCGTCTTCGGGGGCTGCGCCTGGATTGGGGCCTGGGGGGCTCCTGCGCCTTCTGGGCCTTCGGAGCCTTCTCAGAAGACTGGGGGACTTCTGAACCTGCTGAGAAGACCTCCTCCTCCTCGCTTCCCCCCTCGCTCGCCACCGAGGGTACCGTCAACCCGTAGATTGAGGACGCACGATAAGGATGCAAGGGCTTTGGAAGGTCATGTCGAAACTTTGCGAGCGGGGCGCGGCCAGCGAAAGTGCCCAAGATAGGCCGAGGGGAAGGAGATAAGGGCAACATTGGGAAATCGATGATGCTTACCATGCGGGTTGACTGTACTATTCAACCGAGCATCAGCTCACGCAGGTATCACTTGATCTTGCTCATCGAACTTTCTCGTCCCTGCGATCGCGAGGCGTCGAAAATGCTGCTCACGCTCACGGTGACTCTCCCTATCCCCGGCGGGCCTTCGGCACGATCCGGCCCCCCCCAGAACGCCCTCGACGAGGGCAACAACTGGAGAGCTTCCCGAGGTCGGAAAACCGCGGAGACCGTACGGAAAAAAAACGAAAACCCAAACCTCGAACCCAGTACTAGGCCTCCCCGATGGGGTCCGAGAAGCCTGACTGGACAACAACGGGGAGCGTCCTTTTGTGTCCTGGTCTTATGGGATATCCTACGTTCTGAGTATGCGCTGTGCAAATATGTCGTGGCGTGCGTGCGCTTTTTCAAGTGCGCATGCGTGCGTGGAATATGTGCACGTGCGTCCGTGCGTGGTGGTCTGCGGCACTGCTGTGTTGTGCCGTGCTGCTCTGTCGTGTTTCTGCGGTCTGCGTGAACGTATGTTGCCTCTCTTTGTGTGCGTGTGTGTGTGTGTGTGTGTGTGCGTGTGTGCGTGTCTGTGGGTGTATGTGTCTGTGAGTGCGTGTGCGTGTGCGTGTGCGCGTATGTGCGTGTGCCTGTGTGCGTGTGCCTGCGCGTGCGGCTGTGTGAATCGATGTTCTGGGTGTTCTGCCGTGCCCCTGCGTGTTCTGCCGTGTTCTGTGGGTTCTGCCGTGCTCCTGTGTGTTCTGCCATGGTCCTGCTCTGCCGTGCTCCGATGTGTTCTGCCGTGCTCCTGCGTGTTCTGCCATGATCCTGCTTGTCCTGCCTTGCTCCGATGTGTGTTGTGTGATCTGCGGCGCTTCTGCGTGGTCCGCCGAGATCCTGTTATGTTCCACCGTGCCCCCCATGTATTATGTGTGTGTGTGTACTCTGCCGTGCGCCTCGTGCTCCCGCGTGGTCTGCGGTGCTCCTGTGAATTCTGCCGTACTACTGCGTGTCCTGCCGCGTGTTCTGCCGCGTGTTCTGCCGTGCTCCTGCGCGCTCTGCCGTGCCCTGCGCGTTATTAAAGTTAAAGTTGGAGACGGGGCCTTCAAGGCACAGGGAAAGGAAAACGGGGCCAGGCCAGGCGGGACCAAAGTTCCCGAGAGACGCCGAGTCCCAAGCAAGCGAGCCACGCGCGCCTACTCACACGGGAGCAACAGGCGCGGGCGGACAGGCGGGAAGGCCTTCAATCACTCCCCGACGACTCCGAGTCGCGGCGCGCCAGGCGGCGGCGGACCCCACGGCTCACCAGGCCACCGCTGGGTGCGGCGCCCGCGGCTGCGAGCTCCTCCTCGGCGGCCTCACCTGCGCCGAGGGCGCCAGCACTCGGGCCTGGCCGCTGCTGGGGCAGGCTGGCCGCCGCCGCCTCCACTACCTGCGCTGCAGCGGGAGCCGCTGGGCCGCTGCCCGAATTGCTGGCCGCGGCAGAGGCTCCGCCTGCAGGCTCCGCCTCCATGCCGAGCCACTCCAGGTAGCGCTCCTGGGCGTGTCCTGGCACTGGCCTTTGCGAGCGCAAGGCAGGGATGCCCTCTGCTCTCACTCTCTGCTTGTCCGCTCGAGGCCTGCCACCAGCGTGGAGCCCTCGCTCCCACAGGCTGCGCTGGTTCCTGCCCGACTTGTTGGTCAGGTAGCTGGGCCCTGGGCACTGCACCTTCAGGCGAGACTTGCCTCCTGCGTGGCTGCCCAGCACTTTGTAGGCGCCACACTTGGTGCACGCCACGATCTCCTGGGTGTCCCCCCCTTCGCCCGCACGGGCATAGCTGAGCACGTGCCCCAGGATGCTAAAGGCGACAGCGGTGGCCGAGAGGGCGGCTGTGCTGCTCCCCGTCGAGCGGCTGTCCTCCGGGCGGGGCCGCGCGGCTGGGGCGCCGCCGCCGAGGGCCTCCCCATCCTGCAGGGGCTCCGCTGCCGCCGCGGACTGCACCTGGCCGATCCCGCCCGCAGGAGGGACCTCCTCGCTGCTCAAGGCCGAGCCATTGACGCACTGCTTGCTGTCGAGTCCGCTTACACCACCTCCTCGTGCGCGCCGCGCCTTCACGCACCGCTTGACTCCTGGCCTGAGCAGCAGCCCGATGGCGCCCCCGAACAACTGCCGACGCAAGAGGGGCCTGCAGTAGGGGCCCCGCCTCCCATGGCGGTAGCAGGCCTGCTGAGCATACGTGCCTGCAACGGAGCTCATCGCCCGCGGCTCGAGGAACATGGGATCGAACGCGTCACCGAGGTCCATGACCATGCACCACTCCGACTCGAGGTACCAGTCGACGCTCCACTGGGTCCGCATCACCGCGCAGACGGGCGAGGCACGGCGCACGCCTGTGGCGGCTGTAGCGCACCTGGCTGCCGTCGCCTCCCGTCCCTGAGCTCGCGCCCTGAGTGGCTGCTCGGTAGGCAGCTGCGGATCCGCGATCCTGGCCATCGTCTCGGGATGCCCAGGTACGCCTGCTCTGCCCGCGGGGTCGCTCCACTCGCTGGTGCCGAACTCGATGGCCCCAACCAGGCTCTCCTCGGCGTCCAGGAGGACGCGGACACAGCTGGGCCCTGCAGCGCGCTCCTGGCCCCTGGGCGGGTCGAGGACGCCCATGCCGTGGAGCCCGGCCAAGTCGCTCTCGACGACCTCGGTGCCGCTCTCGTGCAGGCGCGGGCCCGCCGCACAGGCCTCGCTAGGCACCCGCTGGCCCTAGCTGCGCCCCTCCGACGCGGCCCCCAGCGGACCTGCCAGCATGACGAGAAGCCAGAGGAGCCAAGTCCGCTGCCTCTGCCGCCAGCTCCCGCTTGCATGCCTGGGCCACCGTCGGCCACTCGCCCAGCGCCTTGCCGCGCCGCTCGGCTTGGCCTCGCTCCGCTGCTGGCTGGGGCTGCCAGGGGCCGCCGCCGTCCGCGAGATCGCCATCGTCGCTGCTGATTTCCTCCATGGGACAGGCCTCCGCCCACGGCGCACGCTCGGGGGCGAAAGGGGCCCCCGCGAGCTGCGCCCGCACTGCCTCCATCTGGGCACGAATGGCTGCCCAGGCCACCTCGAAGTTGCTGGAGCTCCACGCCTCTGGCAACTTCTCCAGCTGCATGAGGAGCCCTGGCCCCTGGCTGGCTCCTGTCCACTCGGCTGCGCGCTGGCGGCGCAGCGCCTCAGCCTCCTCGCGGGCTGCCTCCTCGAGCACCTGGAGCGCGCGGCTCGCCCCCTCCACCTCCGCGTCGAGCTCCGCGAGCTTGTCCTGGGCCTTCTGGAGCTGGGCCTCGACGAGGTCGCGCGCCTCCTGCTTCTGCTCGAGCTCCAGGCGGGCTGCCCGGAGCCGCTTCTCACCCTTGCTGATGGCGTTCGCCTCCCTGTGGAGCCGCGTCGCCCGTGGCAGGGAAGAGGCCTTCTGCTCCGCTGCTGCCTTCTGGGCCTTGACCAGCTCGGCACGCTTCGCCTCCAGCTGGCTGGCCACGACGTCGGTGAAGAAGCCGTCCACTCCGTCAGGGGGCTCGGACTGCAGCGCCACGAGCTGCTCGACTGCCGCCTGAAGCCTCTCGATCGCCGTGGCGCCTCCAAAGCTGGGCGTCCCACTGTGCTCTTGTGTGTTCTGCCGTGCTCATGCGTGTTCTGCCGTGCTCCTGTGTATTATGTGTGTGTGTGTGTTGCAGTGCTCCTGCGTGTTCTGCCGTGAGTCTATGTAGTATGTGTGTCCTGCTGTGCTCCTCTTGCTCCTGTGCGTTAAAGTTAAAGTTAAAGACGGGGCCTTCAGGGCAAAGGGTGACAAAACACGGACAGGGCCAGACGGGGCCCGCGTTCCCGAGAGACGCCGAGTCCCACGCTCGCACCGAGGGCGGCGGAAGCCTACTCACCGAGGGGAGCAGCTGGCGCAAGCCACAGCGATGCCAATCCTTCACTCACTCACGGTCGGGCCGCCACGGCGCGCCATGCGGCGGCGCACCCTGCGGTCCTCCAGGGCCTCGACTGCAGCGTCGGCCGCAGCGGCGAGCTCCTCCCTGGTGACCCCGGAGGCTCCGAGGAGCCCAGTCCTCGCTGCGGCTGGGCGCTGCAGAGGCAGGCTGGCAGCGGCCGCAGCGTCGGCCGCATCCGCTGGGGCCTCTCCTGGGCCCGCTGCCACTTGCGGCTCCGCAGCTGCCGCTGGGGCGCTGCCTGCACTGCTCGCAGTGGCCGAGGAGTCTACAGCTGGCTCCGCTGCAGTGCCAAGCAACTCCAGGTACCGCTCCTGCGCGTGCTCAGGCACTGGACCCTGCGAGCGCAGCGCTGGGATGCCCTCTCCTTTCACTCTGTGCCTGGCAACTCGTGACCCCTCCTGCCTCCTGCCTCCTGGATGGAGTCCTCGTAGCCACAGGCTGCGCTGGTTCCTGCCGCCCTTGTCGGTCTTGTCTCCTGGGCACCGCTCCTTGAGGCGAGGCCTGACCCCTGAGCGACCGCCCAGCGTCATGTAGGCGCCGCACTTGGAGCATGTCACGAGCTCCTGGGTGTCCTCGCCTTCTCCGGCGCAGGCATAGGACAGGGCATGTCCCAGAATGCTGAAGGCTACTGCACTGGCCGAAAGGGCTGCCGAGCTGCTGCCTGTCGAGCGGGCGCTCTCCAGGCGTGGCTGCTTGGCCATCGGCCCATCGCCCGTGGCATCCTCCGCTGCCTGAGACACCTCGGCTGCGGCGAAACGCCCCTGGCGCCGCTCAGCAGTAGGAGGGAGCCTTTTCGCAGTCCCCCCCGGCCTCGATGCCTGGCCAGATGATGGCGGCCCACCAGATCCAGCGCCCGAGCTCATGCACGATCTCCGCCAGCGCATGGTGCACGCCAACTGTCAGCCTGTCCACCGCATGCATCTGGGCACCCATCTCTGCGAGGCGGTCGGCGTGCTCGTTGCCGCGCCTCTGAGCCTCCGTCAGGAGCCCGTCGAGCACTGCCTGCCTCGAACAGGGGGCTGGCACCTTCTTCACCTCGAAAGCGCCCGGTTCGAAGGCTGCCAGAATCCTGCACCATAGGGAGGCGTTCGCCCTGCAGGGCGCGGTGGCGTACGCACGCCCTCTCCGCAGGAAGCACGCTGTGTAGCTGCAGTCGATGTTGACTTCCTCCACTGCTTGCCCCGTGAAGGCGGCGAGCATCCAGGCTGCAAAAACCTCGCCGTCCTTGGTCGTCTGCTGCGGGCAGAGGTCACGTCAGACGATGCCGTAGACCCCTGCCACCAGGTCACCGTCGTCGTCGCACTGCGCTATGGCCCAGCCCGCGCAGCGCAAGGCGCCGACCTGCGGCTCGAGCGCCGAGCCATCGAGGCACAGCTTGCCGTTGAGCTTATCATCGGCTGGCCTGCAGACAGATTGCCCCCACATGGCGTCAGTGCGGCGACCCTGCGGCGGCTCTGGTGCGGGCGGCCAGCAGCGGCCGAAGTTGTCGCCTGCGCGCTCGCCTGGGACCCGCGCTCGTTCTGCACCCCGCTTCAGCCGTGCCGACACTCCGTCGCGCCGCTGGGGCTCGAGCACGGGGCAGCCGAGAAGACGGTGCCACCAGGTGCCTCCCTCTGCTCCGTAACCGCAGCAGCGCGCATGCCCCTGTTCACCTGCATCGAAGAGCCTGGCCTGCGTCCAGTGCGCGTTGGAGATGTAGGCCTCGAGCACGTTCTGCTCCCACACTCTGGGCCCGCTGTCTGGCCCGAGCAGGCGTCCGATGGCGCCCCAGTACAGCGGCCGCAGCAGGAGGGTGCCAAGGCTGGATCTCGTGACGAACGGGCGCACGCTGAGCGCCAAGGCCAGCCCCCGAGCCCAGCTCCCGAGACCCGAGGTGCATGAGGTCGAGCTCGAGCTCACCGCCGAGGTCCGTGACCATGCACCGCTCGGACTTGAAGTGCCAGTCGATCCGCGCACAGGTCAGTACCACCGCGTCGAAGGGGGAGGCGCCGTGCTTCCATGGCGCGTCAGCCCTTGCGTTTCTGGTGGCCACCGCATCCAGCCCCCGCTCCATCATCCTGGGTGGCAGCTCGCCTAACTGAAGCAGGCCCGCCATCCTCTGGACTGCGTGGCCTGCCGTGAGGGCTGCAGGATCCAGGTCACGCCTCCTCCTGAGCTCGGCACAGCGCATGCGCAGCCCTCGCTCCGCGCCCAAGGGGGGCGCTCCTGCGCTGCGGCAGGCCGCAAGCCTCCATCTGTGTAGCTCGCCGTCCGCGATGCCCGTGACCGTGTAACCCCATGCCACGCTGGCCGCGGGCCCAGCCTTGTGGATCGGGTCCACCTCCACGCCGGCGGTTGGGAGGCAGCCCAGTCTGCGCGCTCGGCGAAACGCTCCTGCAGCTCGGATCCGGCCCCCATGTACTCCTCCCCTCGTGTTGGCGGCGTCCGTGCCGAGGTGCCTGGCCTGCAAGGTCTTACGGAAGGTCCAGCCTTGCGGCTTCCAGCACTCACCGAGCTGGCCTCCAAGACTGGGGCTCGAAGTGAGGAAGGTCGTCTTGGCAGCGCTGAGGGGAAGGTGCTGACCACGGCGGCTGCGATCCACTTCCAGCCCAGCGTTGCCGAGCAGCGCGGCGACCCGCCGCTCCGTGCCCACGGCCTGCGGCCCGATGTCGTCGACGACGGTGCGAGCGACACCCAGTGGCCTGCCGCCCGCTGAGGCGGCGCGGAGGGCTGTCAGCACAGGCAGCTTGCCCACAGTGGTGGCCCACGCACACCCCGCCAGGACTGTCCCGTTGGTGCTGAACGACTCGGTGGCCAGGCCCACGAAGGACAAGAACCGCGGGCTCTGGTAGAGCACCATGTCCCCGACGGCGGCGAGGAAGTCGAGGTTGACGCCTTTGGGTCCCAGGCCGTCCTGGAGGTGCATCGAGCATGCCAGCAGCTGCAGGTCTGACGCAGCGGACGCTGTGGCTCCTATCGCGCAATGCCCCAGGTCGCTCGGGACCTGCCAGGCTATCACAGCTGCCTGCAGGTCGCTGCGAACCAAGGCTGCGGCGCCGCCTGAGTGCGCCAGCGGGCCCTCCTTGTCCGTGGGTGCCGACGCGTGGAGGAACGCCGTATATACCATGCGCCGCGCTGCTCCTGTGGCCTCCCCCAGGCGGTGCGGAGCCAGGCGGGTCTCCTGGAGCCTCACAAGGTGCGGCAGGGCCCTGTTGCGAGAGCCCAAGGCCTCGATCTCCTCCAGGCTCTTCCTCCATGCGTTGCCGTTGATCCCGAGCTCCTCCAGCCCGCTGCGTACATCCTGAGCTGCCGTCGCAGCTTGGCCTGGCGCTGGTGGGGCCTGCGCACTCCCGAGGTCGAGGGGCCGCTTGCTGCCGATGCGGGCCGTTTCGGCGCCGCCGCCCTCCTGCTGCCTAGGCTTAGCACCTCTGGCTTGGCTATACGCACGCCTGCCGTGGCTTCTCGCCTCCGCCGCGACTCCCAGCGGCGCGGCCAGCAGGGCGAGCAGCAAGAGGGGCCAGGTCCTCAGCCTCGGCCGCCAGCTCCCGCTTGCACGCCTGGGCGACCTTCGGCCACTCGCCGTGGGCGTCGCCGCGACGTTCGGCCTGGCCGCGCTCCGCGGCGCACTGCGGCTGCCAAAGCCCGCTGCCTCCTGCGTGGTCGCCGTCCTCGCTGCTGATCTCGCCCATGGGGCACGACTCCGCCCAGGGTGCTCTCCTCGGGACCGCAGGGGCTTCAGCGAGCTGCGCACGCACCGCCTCCACCTGGGCGCGAATGGCCGCCCACGCCACCTCGAAGTTGCTGGAGCCCCACGCCTCGGGCAGCTTGTCCAGCTGCATGAAGAGCCCTGGGGCCTGGCTGGCTCCTACCCACTCGGCCGCGCGCTGGCGCAGCTGCGCAGCGGCCTCAACTCGGGCTTCCTCCTCGAGGACGTGGAGCGCACGGCTGGCCTCCTCCACCTCCGCGTCGAGCTGCGCCAAGTCCTGCCTCGGCGAGGCCACGCGCCGCTTGTTTCTGCTCCAGGCTCTGGCGCGCTGCTCGGAGGCGCTTCTCCGCCTTGCTGATGGCGCTCGCCTCCTTGTGGAGCAGCGTCGAAAGCGGCATGGAAGACGCCTTCTGCTCCGCTGCAGCCCGCTGGGCCTCGGCCAGCTCGGCGCGCTTGGCCTCCAACTGGCTGGCGACGGCGTCGGTGAAGCAGCCGTTGACCCCGTCGGGCGGCTCCGCCTGCAGCGCCTCCAGCTGCTCGACCGCAACCTGCAGCCTCTCGATCGCTGTGGCGCCGCTGCCGCCGGGCGTCCCACTGTCGCCCGATGCCGAGGCCTGCGACTTGGAGGTGGCCGCGCTCGTTGCAGCACTGCGGGCTTGCCGCTGGGCGCGGCGCCCGCGCGGCTGATCCACCCAGCCGCCCTCATCAGCCTGGGGATTGGCCTTGGCTGCTGCTGCTTCCAGCGCCCATGGCGGGGCAGCGTGCCCATAGCCAAGGCGCGTGGTGCGCCAGTCGCAGTTCCACCCACCGCAGCTGCACATCCAGCACGTCCTGCTGCGCCTGCTGCCACCGCCGCCCCCCCGCGAGGAGCGCGCCATGGCCCTTGCCGCGCTGGCTGACAGGTCGCGCCTCCGCGCCGCGAAAGCAGGGAGCACAACAAAGAAGTGCACTGGCCCAAAGCGAGGAGACCCTCGCGCTCGGAACGCCGCGGACGACTCGCGGTCGTCGGGTGCTCCATGGCCTTGAGCCAAAATGGCTACGGATTGCTCCTGCGTGTAAAGTTAAAATTAAAGACGGGGCCTCCAAGGCAAGCGGTGGCCAGAAACGCAGACAGGGCCAGACGGGCCCGCGTTCCCGAGAGAAGCCGGGTCCTGAGACACGCCCTCCCAAGAGGGGCCACCTAGGGCCGCCTCACCACACGGGCCAGGGAAGGCGGACGGCAAAGCCACTGGCTCTGGCCCCCAACCTGCCCACGCCAATCACGCAAGCACTACGAGAACAGAAGCTACGCATGACCACAACGAACTCGACTGCATTGCAGATACACCACGCGCACATTCAAATGCAGGAGACATAACCCACTGAAAAACCACAGCCCCCCACCTCCAATGGGGAACAGACGTGCAAGGCGAACCATCACTCAGAAGGCATTCCGAACACGCAGGGAAAAGACGCCTCAAGAGGAGCACGAACCACGCTGCTCCAACCACTCCTCGGATCCAAGCCTGGAAGCAGCGGCGCCCCGCCTGCAGTACCTCCAGCGCTCGGGCCGCCCTCGCTTGCCAGCAATCACGAGCAAGCGTCGAGGTACGCGGCGGCGGCGGCAGCAACATGTCCAGCAGGTTCGGCAGCTGGCGGCTCCCCAACCGAGCAAGCGGTGGCCACGTCGGCCTCGCCGTCGAAGATCACGCCGTCGGAGTCGGAGCACTCGCCAGCAGCGCGCGGCGGCGCCGCCATAGCGCCCGCGGCCTGCACGAAGTTCACCTCGCAGTCAACCTCCGACACCCCAGGGAAGAGAAGGGAAGGCACGTAGCAATCGCCGATGCGGGCGCCACGCCCAACGCGGGCGCGCCCAGCCAGCTCGAACTCCATGTGAAGCTGCTGCTGCGCCTCGTCGCACTCATCGACGTCGATCTGGGCCTGCATCACATGGGCACCGCCACCGCCGGCAACGGGGTCAACCCCAGCTTGGGCGAAGGGCCTCGCAGCCGACCGCAGCGCCGCTGTGCTCCTGCGTGTTAAAATTAAATGAAAAGACGGGGCGTTCAAGGCAAAAGGGGCAAACACGGACAGGGCCAGACGGGACCCGCGTTCCCGAGAGACGCCGAGCCCCACAGGGCACCGAGGGCGACGGAAGCCAGCTCCAAAGTGGAGCAGCTGGCGCGAGCCACAGCGATGCAACCTTTCACTCACTCACTCACGGACGGGCCGCCACGGCGCGCCACGCGGCGGCGCACCCTGCGGTCCTCCAGGGCGTCGCCTGCAGGGCCGGCCGCGGCGGCGGGCTCCTCCTCGATGGCCCCGATCGCCCCGAGACGCCCTGCTCTCGCTGCGGCTGGGCGCCGCATGGGCAGGCTGGCAGCGGCCGCCGCGACGGCTGCATCCGATGGGCCTCCTCCTGGGCCCGCGGCCACTTGCGGCTCTGCAGCCGCCGCTGGGGCGTTGCCTGCACTGGTCGCCGTGGCCGAGGAGTCTGCAGCTGGTACCGCTGCAGTTCCAAGCAACTCCAGGTACCGCTCCTGCGCGTGCTCCGGCACTGGACCCTGCGAGCGGAGCGCAGGGATGCCCTCTCCTTTCACTCTGTGCCTGGCAGCTCGTGACCCCTCTTGCCTCCTGCCTCCAGGATGGAGTCCTCGTAGCCACAGGCTGCGCTGGTTCCTGCCGCCCCTGTCGGTCTTGTCGCCTGGGCACCGCTCCTTGAGGCGAGGCTTAACCCCTGGGCGGCCGCCCAGAGTCATGCAGGCGCCGCACTTGGAGCACGCCACGAGCTCCTGGGTGCCCTCACCTTCTCCAGCGCAGGCGTAGGACAGGGCATGTCCCAGGATGCTGAAGGCTACTGCACTGGCCGAAAGGGCTGCCGAGCTGCTGCCTGTCGAGCGGGCGCCCTCCAGGCGTGGCCGCTTGGCCGACGGCCCCTCGCCCATGGCCTCATCCGCTGCCTGAGACCTCTCAACGTCAGCGAAGAGCGCCTGGCGCCGCTCGGCAGCAGGAGGGAGCCCTTCGCCGCCCCTGGCCTCGACGCCTTGCCCGAGGATGACGGCCCACCAGATCCAGCGCCCGAGTTCCTGCACGAACCCCGCCAGCGCATGGTGCACGCCAACCGTCAGCTTGTCCACTGCATGCGTCTGGGCGCCCATCACGGCGAGGCGGTCGGCGTGCTAGTTGCCGCGCCTCTGGGCCTGCGCCAGGAGCCCGTCGAGCACTGCCTGCCTCGAACAGTCGACGCTGACTTCCTCCACTGCTGGCCTCGCAAGGGAGGCGAGCATCCAGGCCGCCACGTCCCCGCCGTCCTTGGCCGTCCGCTGCGGGCAGCGGTCGCGCCCGACTGCGCCGTAGACCTCTGCCGCCACCAGGTTGCCGTCGCCGTCGCAGTGCGCTATGGCCCAGCCCTCACAGCGCAAGGCGCCGAACAGCGGCTCGAGCGTCGAGCCGTCGAGGTACAGCTTGCCGTTGAGCTTATCGTCGGCTGGCCTGCGGACACAACGCCTCCCCATGGCGTCGGTGCGGCGACCCTGCGGTGGCTCAGGCGCGGGCAGCCAGCGGCCTCTGTCGCGCCGCTGGGCCTCGTGCACAGGGCCGCCGTGCAGGCGGTGCCACATGGTGCCTCTCTCTGCTCCGCAGCAGCGCGCTTGCCCCTGTTCCCGTGCATCGAGGAGCCTGGCCTGCGTCCAGTGCGGGTTGGAGATGCAGGCCCCCATCAGGCAGGTGCCGCGGCTGAGCTTCCGCGTCTCGTGACGAGAGGACGCACTTCGAGCGCCTGGGCCAGCCTCCAAGCCCAGCTCCTGAAGCCCGAGGTGCATGAGGACGAGCTCATCGCCAAGGTCCGTGACCATGCACCGCTCAGACTTGAAGTGCCAGTCGATCCGCGCACGGGTCAGCATCTCCGCTTCGAGGGGGAAGGCGCAGCGCTTCCATGGCGCGTCAGCTCTTGCGCGCCTGGTCGCCGCAGCCTCCAGCCCCTGCTCCTTCATCATGGGCGGCAGCTCGCCTGTCGGCAGCAGGCCCGCCATCATCTGGACTGCGTGGCCTGCTCTGAGGGCTGCAGGATCCAGGTTACGCCTCCCCCTGAGCTCGGCACAGCGCATGCGCAGCCCTCGCTCTGCGCCCATGGGGAGCGCTCCTGCGCTGCGACAGGCCGTCAGCCGCCAACTGTGCAGCTCGCCGTCCGCGTCGCCCGTGACCGCGCGCCCACGCACCCTGCTGGCCGCGGGCCCAGCCGTGTGGATCGGGTCCAGCCTGCGCGCTCTGCGAAGCGCTCCTGCAGCTCGGACTCTGCCCTCATGTGCCCCACGCCTCGTGATGGCGGGGTCCGAGCCGAGGTTCCTGGCCTGCAAGGTCTCGCAGAAGGTCCAGCCTTGCGACTTCCCGCGCGCCCCGAGCTGACGTCCTAGGCCGGGGCTCGGAGTGAGGAAGGTCGTCTTGACAGCACTGAGGGGTAGGTGCTGACCACTGATGCGTCGCACTACTTCCAGCCCTGCTCTGCCGAACCGCGCGGCCACCAGCTGCTCCGTGCCCACGGCCTGCAGCGCGATGTCGCCGACGACGTTGCGAGCCACGCCCATCGGCCTGCCGCCGCCGCCCGCTGGGGCGGCGCGGAAGGCTGCCAGCCCAGGCGGCCCGGCCACAGCGAGGCCACACGCACCCCCCGCCAAACCTGTCCAGCTGGTGCTGAACGTCACGGTGGCCAGGCCCACAACGGCCATGAACCGCGGTCTCTGGTAGAGCACCGCGTCGCCGAAGGCGGCGAAGCTGTCGAGGTTGAGGCCTTTGGGTCCCAGGGCGCCCTGGAGGCGCAGCGAGCATGCCAGCAGCTGCAGGCCTGACGCAGTGGACACTGCGACACCACTCAAGCCCTGCCTCCAGCCTGCGACGCCGCCTGAGTTCGCCAGCGGGCCCTCCTTGTCCGCGGGCGCCGACGCGTGGAGGAACGCCGTAGAGCCCATGCGCCGCGCTGCTCCTCTGGCCTCCTCCAGGCGGCGCGGAGCCAAGCGGGTCTCCCGGTGCACTACAAGGCGCGGCGGGGCCCCGCTGCGAGAGCCCAAGGCCTCGGTCCCCTCCAGGCTCCACTTCCACGCGTTGCCGTTGACCCCGAGCTCCTCCAGCCCGCAGCGGACATCCTGAGCTGCCGTCGCAGCTTGGCCTGGCGCTGGTGGGGCCTGCGCACTCCCGAGGTCGAGGGGCCGCTTGCCGCCGAAGCGGGCCGCTTCGGCGCCGCCGCCCTCCTGCTGCCTATGCAAAGCGCCTCTGGCGTGGCTACGCGCCCGACAGCCGCGGCCTCTCGCCTCCGCCGCGACCCCCAGCGGCGCGGCGAGCAGGGCGAGCAGCAAGAGGGGCCAGGTCCTCAGCCTCGGCCGCCAGCTCCCGCTTGCACGCCTGGGCGACCTTCGGCCACTCACCGCGGGCGTCGCCGCGACGTTCGGCCCGGCCACGCTCCGCGGCGCACTGCGGCTGCCAGGGCCTGCAGCCTCCTGCGTGGTTGCCGCCCTCGCTGCTGATCTCGTCCATGGGGCACGACTCCGCCCAGGGCGCTCTCCTCGGGGCGGTAGGGGCCTCGGCAAGCTGCGCAAGCACTGCCCCCACCTGGGAGCGAACGGCCGCCCACGCCACCCCGAAGTTGCTGGAGCCCCATGCCTCGGGCAGCTTGTCCAGCTGCATGAGGAGCCCTGGGACCTGGCTGGCCCCTGCCCACTCGGCCGCGCGCTGGCGCAGCTGCGCCGCGGCCTCCACTCGGGCCTCCTCCTCGAGGGCGTGGAGCGCACGGCTGGCCTCCTCCACCTCCGCGCCGAGCTGCGCCAGCTCCTCCTGGGCCTTTTGCAGCTGGGCCTCGACGAGTCCACGAGCCTCTTGCTTCTGCTCCAGGCTCTGGCGCGCTGCTCGGAGGCGCTCCTCCGCCTTGCTGATGGCGTTCGCCTCCTTGTGGAGCATCGTCGACAGCGGCATGGAGGACGCCTTCTGCTCTGCTGCGGCCCGCTGGGCCTCTGCCAGCTCGGCGCGAATGGCCTCCAACTGGCTGGCGACGACGTCGGTGAAGCAACAGTCGACTCCGTCGGGCGGCACCGCCTGCAGCGCCTCCAGCTGCTCGGCCGCCACTTGCAGCCTCTCGATCGCCGTGGCGCCGCTGCCGCTGGGCGCCCCGCTGGCGCCCGACGCCGAGGTCTGCGACTTGGAGTTTGCCGCACTCGTTGCGGCACTGCGGGCCTGCCGCTGGGCACGGCGCCCGCGCGGCTGATCCACCCAGCCGTCAGTGTCCGCCTGGGGCTTGGCCTTGGTTGCTGCTGCATCCAGCGCCCACGGCGGGGCAGCATACCCACAGCCAAGGCACGTGGCTTGCCAGTCCCATTTCCACCCACCGCAGCTGCACATCCAGTACGTCCTGCTGCGCCTGCTTCCGCTGCCGCCACCCCGCGAGGAGCGCGCCATGGCCCAGGCCACGTGGGCTGACAGGATGCGCCTCCGCGCCGCGAATGCAGGGAGCACAACAAAGAATTGCACTGGCCCAAAGCGAGGGGCCCCTCGCGCTCGGAACGCCGCGGACGACTTGCGGTCGTCGGGTGTTCCATGGCCTTGAGCCAAAATGGCTACGGCTTGTTCCTGCGTGTTCTGCCGTGTTCCTGTGTGTTCTGCCGTGCTCCCATGTGTTCCTTGGGTTCTGCCGTGCTCCTGTGTGTAATGCCATGCTCCTGTGTGTTCTGCCGTATTCCCGCGCATTATGCCGTGCTTCTGCGTGTTGGTCTGCCGTGATCCTGCCCATGTTCTGGAGATGGTTCAGGCAAAGAGCTTAATGTTAACATGAATGTTTTGAAATCAACCGTTTCAATAGCTCTTTATTTCGAAGGTGTCTCAGGCGATAGCCCCATTTCCATAGGTGTGTTCAATTCGCTGTTTTCATTTTCATTATCTGGTGGATGTCTCAAGCGAAACGCCTGTTGTTGTAAAAGGCGATGCTGCGAACAACTTAATTGTTTCAGGATGGCTAAGTTGAGGAATCTCGAGGGCGCTATTGGAGTCATATTGGACCTCGTTTGGAGCTCGTTTGGGGCCGTCTCGATGCCATAACAGATTATGCCTGCGCGATGTCAAACACGTCTCTTGTTTGAGGATCTCCCGAGCGAAATAATCATTTAAAGAAGGCTGGCTTGGGCCGTCTGGAAGCCTTTTCAGGACCGATTCCAAGACGATGTTAGAACAGAAGTTTTCAAACCGATGCTATTGTATGTTTCATTTGTTTGAGAATGTCCCTGGCGAAATCGCTATTATCGGCAGTCTTCAGGGGGTCTCTTGGAGCCATCTTGGGATCAGCTCTGGGCTCTCATTTCTCCATATTGAAACACTTCAAGAATGATGACAATATTGTGTGGAGAAAATCCAACTTGATTGAAGATGTCCCCACCGAAATGCAAATTTCCTGCCGTGCTGTTTTTCTCTGGTCCGCCGTGCTGCCGGTCATTTTCTGAGGATGTCCCGAGCGAAAACGTAGGTTTCAACATGAGAGGCAGTAACACAAGTCCGTCGACATCTGATTTTGGGTGGGATGTCTCAGGCGAAACGCCAATTTCGGCAAATTCGTAAATTTCGCGACGGTCAACCTTTCGGGGATGACTCAAGCGAAACGCTTGTTTTTGTTAAACGCTATGTCGCGAAGATCTAATTTGTGCTTGGGAAACTAAAATGAAATCGCTGTTTTGGGGGATCCGCTGACGAATGGCGCCGTGCACCCCGCCACCCTCTATTAGTAAGAGATAGTCTGATATGTTACATATTCAGCCACAAGGTCCAGCTCGCTTCTCGTACCTCGGCGACGCTTCCCGTCATCCGCCACCGTGCCGCTGGGCAAGCAGCGGGCGTGTCCTCAGGTCCTTTGCCTACCCCTTCAGCACAGGGGCCCGGACCCCAAATTCTCAGATCTCTCGGGGGCTTGTCGCGTGCTCCCTGGGCCGTGTCGCGTCTTCTCGCGTGAAACTGTCGGGTCCCAAGAGGCCCCCAAGCCGCCCCCAACACGCTCCGAGACGCGCAAAGATCGCTCCACGACTCCGAAGATGGCCTCAAGACAGCCCAAGAAGCCTCCAAGACGCCCCAGGAAGCCTCCAAGAGGCCTCCCGAGAGGTCCCCGAGAGGCAGAATTCACTGATTTCCCCATGGATGTTAAAGGATTGTGTGGAGTTCTCGTCCTTTCTACTTTCTGGCGCTCCAAGACGGCCCAAGAGGACTCCAAGACCGCCCCAAGACGGCCCAAGAGGCCTCCACGAGGGCCCCAAGAAGGCCTACGAGCGCCCGACGACGGCCCAAGAGGCGCCCAAGACCGCCCAAGAGGGCCCCAAAGCCCCGAAAGGGGCCCAAGAGAGGGAGCACGATCCAAAGATCCTAGCATTTCGCCCCGAGAGGCCCCCAGGATGCCTCAAGAGGCGCCCAAGATGCCCCAATTGGCCCCCTATAAACCCAAAGAGGCCCCCAAAAGGCTGAAAAGCGGCCCCAAAATGCTCCAAACCGGCCCCCAGTAGGCATTAAAACTGCCCCCAAGAGGCTCCCGAGAGGCCTCCCGCGAGATTCCAACGAACATCCCATAGGCTTCATACCCACAACCCTGGCAGGGTGGCGGGATGAGCCGAAAGACATTCGATAATCCGCCGACCCTGTCCGCGTGTGCGAGGAGGTTTGTCTGTTCGAGTCGTCGTCTCCGTCAGTCGTCGTCTGCGTCGTTCCCTTTTCCTACGCCCTCCTCAAGCCTGTCAGCGACAGCGAAAAGAAAAACTCGCAATGTCTGGGGGGGGAAGAGGTCAGATACGCATCCCACCCTGGGAGTCCCGGGGCTGCACAAAAACACCACAATAAGCCAACAGTGCCCAAAGAAGCCACGGAGACGGTCCAAGAGGGCCCCCAATCGCCAAACGATCGGTCCAAAACGCCGTTACGCTCCCTGACTGCCCAGGAGACCTCCAAGACGCCCCACGAGGCCTCGAACGGCACTCCCGAGAGGGCCCCAAAAGGCAAACATTTGTCAGATTTGAGCATTTTCGCGAGTGCCGCTTCCCGCCGCTCCAAGACGGTCGAAAAAACGTCCCCAGAGAACCCCAAGACAACCCAAAACACCTCCAAGACGGCTCAAGAGGCCCCTCAGACGGCTCCAAGACCGTGCCTTGACGGGGAACCCGAACGGACATTTCGAGCCCTCGGCCCCGAGAAGCTCCCAGGAAACCCCAAGAGTTCCCCAACAGGCCCCAAGAAGCCCACAAGAGGCCCCCAGGACATCCGAAAAGGCTCCCAAGAGGCCCCCAAAAAGTTCCCAAGAGACCCCAAAAATCCTCCCCGGAAGACACCAAGAAGCATCCCTGAGGAAGCGGGCCCGCGTCAGCGTCGTCGTCGTCGTCGTCGTCGCCGCCGCCACCGCCGCCGTCGTCGTCGACGTCACCCTTCAGGGTCGGCGGCACCAGCCGGAAAGCCTTCGCAATAAATCGGGTCGGAGGATCGCGCCGCATCGCCAATGCGTCGCCGATGCATCGGCGCCATCGACGCGGGGAAAATCTGGGTCCACATCGCGCCGCATCGCCGATGCATCGGCGATGCGGCATCGGCGATGCGGCGCGATCATCCGACCCCGTCTACTCGGATCACACCTGAGAGGCCTCGACTCACGCTGCCACTGGCGGGGGGCCCTCCTGACTACCTACCAGGCCGTCCCAACCCAACCCGAAGACCCGAATTTCGGGTTGGGGGGGCATGGACTCCATATGTGTTTTTGTCGATGTACCCGGACAACCCCCCACTGGAAATGGAGGGCAAATGGAAGCCTTCGGGTTGGGTTGGGGTGGTTTGGTGGGTGGTGACCCCCCCCCCGCGGCCTCCCGGCTGACCACCGCAGCGCAGCGCAGGAACCGCTCCAGCTCGCCTCGAGAGCAGGGGGGCAGGGGGGCGCGGGGGCTCCCGCGGAGGCGGCCTCGCCAGCAAGCCCCGCACGGGCAGCCGCCAGGCGCGTGCGGTCCTTCCCTTTTCCTTTTCCTCATTTCTCCTCCTCCTCCTCCTCCTCCTCCTCCTGCGCAAGACAATGCGCGCCGAAGATCCTCCGACGAGCAACCGAAGGCAAAGCCGAAAGAGTTACGGCACGGGCACAGTGGCCAGCACTCTGAGAACTCGAGAGGAACCCGCTGCAGTGTGCCGATATTCTCCACGTCTGAGCCTGTCCCAGATCTTCCTGGCCCAGGAGGGAAGACTCCCGGGGCAACTGGAAGACAGACTGGAGAGGCGAGACGACGAGATGGCACCGCAGCGAGAGCAACCGATTAGGACAGCATCGTCCTGAAGAGAGAATTTGACCAGAGCACGAGGCCTCTCACCCTTCTCACTGAGGGCCCGGGAAGCTTTGGCAGCACGCGAAACAATGTCCTGGGGAAGGGTCTCCTGCACAAGCAGGAGTCGTGGGGTGGGAGGCTTACCGCGCTGGAGCGAGGGGGGGTGGGAGGAGTCGGGGAGGTTCTCACCCACCTTGCCCACCCACTTCACCCAGGACTTCAAAACCTTAGTTCTGGAAGAGACGGCAGCAGCTTGCGGCGGCGGCACACGGAAGACCTGGGCCGCCCACTTGGCGCGGCGGTCGGCCATGTCGTTGCCGAACTTGTCACGAGTCGTAACACGACCCGACAGGACACCCGCACGCGAGGAGTGGGAAGACACCTTGACAAGGCGAACCGCCTCACACAACTCCGAACCGTCAGAACCCCAATCCTCGAGCCTGGCCCACACCTCGCGCCAGAGAAAACAATGTGCGCCTAGCACCTGAGTGGTGTGCACACGGCCTCTGGACAACACACCATCGAAAACATGTTTAGAGTCAGTGCGCAAGACGAGGGGCGGGCAAGCATGCTTGAGACATTCTGGCAGAGCAGTCAACTCTGCTTCATTGATGGCGGGGGGGCTCAGAGCAGAGCGGGCCACACGTCAGGGCAGAGACCTCACGGAGGGCGCGGGCGCCTCTAGACAAAGCAACCACAGCCCAGCCTCCAGAGGCCCAGGGTCCCAAGTCCCCTTCAAAAATCGAGCCGCCCAGGAAAGCGTCTCCCGCGAGCCGATCGGGGGTCCCAGGGGGCCAGACCAGCGGAGGGAGGCCCGGAAGAAAGGGACGTTCCAAAGTCGGCAACGGGACTAAACATCTCTCGGCAAGCAGCTGCGAGAGACCTCCATTGCTGGCGGCTTCGCCGAGAGAGTGACGCAAGACATGCGTCTGATCGAACTGCAGTGCGTGCTGCGCACAGCTGCAGTATCTATGTGTGAGCGTGCCAAGCTTGGTGGTGCCAGCGGCGAGGCAGGCAACGCAGTTGGGGCCCACGGGGTAGCCGGCTTTCCACTGCCTCGCCATTGGCCACTGGGCTCCGATCACAACCGAGCGCACATACGCACGTTGCTGCGGTAGTGCCTTGGAGCGCAAGAAGACTAAGATGGGAGCTAGGAGCACACCAGTACAAAATTCGGGTGCTTCGACATGCTCAGCTATATTCGCACACTGCCAAAGGCACACTGCTCGCATCACATGCTGCTTGACTACATACGGGCAGGCCTCAGAAATGTTCAGAACTCGTCCTTCGGGGAAACTCCAAGAATCCAACGACCGAGCTCGAACCCCAACCCGATGAAGAGAAGCCCAGAGAGTAGTGAACGGTCCTGCTATGGAGCCCCATGGGTACTGCAAGAGGCTGAGGTGGGCGTCAACTTGCCTGAGACTCGCGTCTAGAACCAGACGGGGCATCCATGACTCATGCAGACAAAGCAGGAAGAACTTAACGGGCAACCACGTGGCCCTGATGATGGGATCGAGGTCCTTGGTGGGCGCCGGCATGAGGGAGAGAGTGAGGCTCTTACCCGCTTGCTTGCGATCCTGAAGCGCGCCTGCTAAGCTGCGCAGTGCGGTGAGCCCCTTGCCATTGACTCCAGTGACGGCCGTGCCGAAAGAGGTAGCGCCCTCAAGCGCGGCTCGGCTCATCTGACCTAGAAGCTTCCTTCGAGGTCGTCCTGCCTTTTAAAGCCGACATGCGAGCTCGACGTTTCTTGATGACCTTGAAACGAGCAGCAGTGGTGCATCTAGGACGCACTTTGCCAGATGCGAAGTCGACCCCCAGGCTGCGCTCGGCAACAGCAACCTGAATCCCAAGGTGCCGAAGGTTGCGAGCGAGACGAAGCCGAAGTTTCTGCGAATTGCTCAAAACCCTGCCTTCATCTAAAGCGAGCCGCATGTCTACTTTGTGCAATTCAGAGACAAAGGGCGCGGCTGACTGCCGGAGCTCGTCTCCCACGCGCTCCTCGCCGCCGAAGCGCTGCAGGGAGAAGTCATCCACGTTGACGGCTAATAGAACTGACCGGTGCGCCGCTTGGACTCTATCAAGGGGGCCTAGCAGTAGCAATTGTAGCATCAGCGTAGCGAACGCGCATCCTGAAACCACCGTTTGCTGCACCTCAATGAAGTCACTGCAGACTCCTTGAAGATCCAGCACGCGCGGCGCACGGTAAACATCTATCAAAAGACGAAGCTGTCAGAGCGGGAAGTGTGTGATGGCTGCCTGTAGCAGATGCTGATGCTGAACATACTCGAAGGATTTCTTGAGATCCAGGAGTATAGTTCCAGAACAGTGACCCCGAATAATACAGTACTCAGACCATGCGCTGGATATCCATACACACTTCTCCGCAGAACGCCCCTTGGTGGACCACCTGAAGTGACGGAAGTTACGCTTCTGCCACTCACTGATAAGAGGCCGACGGAAACGACACTGCAGACGGCAGAGCACATGCAGCAGTCCCAGAGGTCGCACGCCTCCGAGGCGTTTCATGATGAAAACGATTCTGCTGCACATACGCGGCCAGACCAAGTTCTGCTCTATGTGCGCAATGATGCCAGAGAGCAGCTCGATCGCCGTATCAGGGGGCAGGAGGAAGTCCCCAGGGCTGGCCTGATCGAAACCAGAACCAGTTTCTGACGGGGAAGATGCGGATAACAGATTTTGGCTGGTCAGGCGTGGGGTGGCTCGGGTCGGTCTCCCAGGTGCTCAGGCCACACCGGGGGCTGCTTTTGAATGCGCACTTTTCACAATCCTTCCCATTCCTTTTGCAAGATATCAACTTCCCCCTGCATGTTGGCTGGCCTGAGCGCGCAATGGTCCACGCAGTTCGGCTGCCAGCCGATCGGGAAGGAAGAGATGGAGAAGAGCGCGGAGGCACCGTTGACGGAGTGGGTGTCTACCCATTCTCTCCACTGCTGCCCCTTACGCCTAGCACACTGTTGATGCTGATTCTGCGCAGCTTGATCGGCCCAGGAACGCAGCTCAACCACCAAATCTCGAGGAACCTGAGTAAGATTGCCCAGGATGTAGGCCCAGGAGATGTAGTGGCCCTCTCGGGACGTCCAAGCCTGCTGCCCCTCCTAGATTTTGTCCTGAGTGCGAACCAGATCCGCCAGAGCGAGCGAAACTTTCTTCCACCAAACCGCGAGCACCGAGCGCCTGGGAAATCGAACGGGCCCAGGTCGACGAACGGATTGGAAGCGAGGCTTGAGCGGCATCACTCGTCCACAACACTTGTCAGCCTCCTCGGGGGGAAGCTGGAAAACTCGAACCCATTCAAGCTCGGCGGCAGTGATAAAGGCGTCCCACTTGCCATCTATCGTGTCAGTGTTTGAAATAACTGCAGCAGTGTCCTCCCGTAACTCAGACTGGGGCCCCGAAACGCAGCCAACAGGCCTCGCGACAGGAAACTTGCGAGGCACCTGGATCATGCGAACTTGCACGTCACTAGATACCGCAGCTACACGCAGGAGCACTGGCGAGCGAGGTGAGGCGGGGATGTCGTCTAAGACCCTGATGCGATGCTTGCCCAGGAGGTTAGAAGAGACAACGAAGAAATCAATGGCGCGCGCAGCGGGCGTAGATGTTCCCGCCGTAGGCGCAACAATAACTGAGTCGAGCGCACGAGGCCAGCCAGAGGCCTCAAGCTGCGTCGGCTCGATCTCCCAGTCTCCTGCAATCACCAAGGGAAGATGAGCCGCTTTGAGTGCAGAGCCAAGCTTGGCGAGAACACTCCAGAGGAAATCCGCGAGATTGCCACCATCCTTCAAGTAGATAGTTCCCAAGAGGAACCCCCTTTTTAACCATGCCTCCAACATGTAGAAGCGAGCAGCGCCCAAGGAATATCTCAAAGATAGAGGCCCCCAGGAGAGCTAGACCGATACGCTTGGGAACCATCGAAACAAGTCCTCCAGAGGTGCCCCCGTTACGCGTGGGAACAGCGGGTAAAAACTTAGCAGGCCGCCCGTCGCGACGTAACGAGGCCTCGGTGTAATCTAGATCCAAAACTTTGTGGGTCTCTTGCACGCACAACGCGTCAAAACCAGAGAAGCCACTCAAAACTTTCTCGAGACTGGAGTACTCGGTGACGTTGGAGGCCCCCAGGAGCCATTCTCTAATCTTCTGGCGCGGGGTGGGGCTAGGAGCTTGCCCCAGCGGCTCGTGGCGAGCGCGAGCCGCAGTCTTCACGCCTACGCTCGGGCACCACGGCCGGTGTGCAAGCCCGCCTGACAGAGCGCCCTGCACTGGCGAGCACGTCGCTGAGTGCTGTCTGCACCTGCTCAGGCTGGGCGCCGCTGCGCGAGGCGATGGTGTCAACCATGGTAGCGTTGGACAGGGGCGCAATGATGCTGTGCTCGACGGATGCCGCCTTGCGCGCCTCGTCAGCCCAGCTGTCGTCGAAGTCCATGTCATCATCAGCGCGTGGCGTGTCGGCCTCACTCTCTTGATCAGACACCAGTTGAACTGGAGCTGCTCTGGCCGTGTCACCTGGAAGCACGAGGGTCGCCATGTCAGTCGGCGGCGCGGCGGCAGCGCGCTGAGCAGCTTGCTGGTGTTCGACCCGCGTCTTGGCGGTGAGCAACTGACTGAACTGCATTGCCAGGCTGGGGTCGAGCTGTTGGAAACGCTGGAACAAAATACGTTCAGGTGATTCAGCTTCACCTTGTGGCACATCGCCTGCGATCTGAGTCCAGGCCTGCTTCGAACGGTCAGCTGCCTGGCGTTCTTGCTTCTGCAGGCTCTTCTGCTCGAGGCGCAGCTCCACCACGCGCTGCAGCTGCTTCTAAACGATGATGGCAGCCTTGGGCAACTTGTTGTCAATAGCGGCCAACTTGGTCTTGAGCTGCCCGTGCTCCTGCTGTGCGGCCTTGGACAGCGCATGCGGGTCACCACTGCGCTGGGCCCGCACAGCTGCCACTTGGGCGCGCTGGCTGTGGGTGAGCAGCAGCGCGGCGTTGGCGTAGTGCTCCTCAGACATGGCGGCGAAGGCCTCGACCTGCTGACCGTCCAAGGGCTTGGTGGCGCCAGTGGTGTTCTTGCTTGCACCAGGCTTGCCACCACGGCGCCAAGCGCCAGCAGTGGCAGTCGGATCAACAAACTGCACCTTGGGGGGCGCCTTCCAGCATTGCATACACCACTTGTAACTATCCAAATTCTTCTTGCACCCGCAGGAGGTGCACACGACGGGCATGGCTGCGCCGTGTGCGCCGTGGTGAAGGCGCGTGCTGCCGCCCCACCAGCACGCAGAAAGCGGAGTGCCGCGGGCGAGAAGCCCCAAGCTGCCTGAGCCAGGCAGGCTACGGAAGGGTCCAAAGCTAATCGCTGGTTCTCGGGCGTCTATAGCCTTTCACAACGTTTAGCCTTGAGCCAAAATGGCTACGGATCTCCTCCTCCTCCTCCTCCTAGTTGTCCTCCTCCTCCTCCTCCTCCTCCTCCTCCTCCTCTTCCTGCTCGTTCTCCTCCTCCTGCTCGCCACCTCCTCCTGCTCGCCACCTCCTCCTGCTCGCCACTTCCTCCTCCTCCTCCTCCTCCTCCGCTTTCCTCCCCTCCTGTCCTTCCCCCCCATCCTTCTCACGTCACGTCCACGTCCATTCCCATCCTGATATGGCACATCACACGTTTTGCAGGACTACTGGTTGCCAGAAGACATCATAAGACGTGCGCTGTTCCATATCACCTCCTCGCGCCCCCTCGCGCCCATCCACATCCTCACCTTCCGAGCCCCGCACGTCGCGCCACGCTGGGCCCGGCCGAGCCTCGCGCCCGCGCAGGACCCCCACCTCCTCCCCGACTGCCCACCAGACCGCCCCAGCCCAACCCGAAGATCCAAATTTCGGAGGTGGGGTACGGGTTCCACCTGTGTTCTGTCAATGTTCCCCGACGCCCCCCCCCCCCTCCGGGGGCATGGAGGGCAACTGGAGGCCTTCGGGTTGGGTTGCGGTGGTTTGGAGGGCGGCGACCCTCGTCGCCGCAGAAGGCATCACGACGGGAAATGTTCGGCCATGTTCGGCCCCCTAGGGGCCCTTGCGGGGCCCCTGGACCCCAAAAGAACGACCTGGGATACACAACCAGTCCCGACTGGGCCGCGATGCAAGGGGGGTCGAGAAAAGGGGGGGGCAAATGTAAAGGGCTGCAGGAAAGAGGCCCTCTAGGGCCACTGAAGGGCCTCTTTGGAGCCCCAGGAAAGCCTTCAGGGGTTGAAAAGTGCACCTTCCCCCCCCCCCTCGATCGCCCCCCCCTTGAGCGACGCCCGTTCCTGAGGGAGTGGTCCAGGCGTCTGGGCATCCACGTCAACGGCGGAGTTCCCGAGAGGGCGGCCACTGTGCACCGATCCTGGCCGGGCCCGGCTCGGGACCCATGATCGGCTCGCAGGGCTCGAGTCGTGGGGCTCCGGGCTAGTCTGAAACTTGACTCTGCCCTCCCGCTGCAAGCATCCCAGGCACAAACTGGGACGTCAACGCTCACGTCGGGACCGTCAAAAGACGTCGGTAAGCCCGAGTCTGGACAAGCTCGAGTCTCACATTTCCCTGATAGGTGCATACGCCCTCCTGGCTTCGGGAGGGGGAGGAGGAGGAGGAGATGGAGGCGAAGGGGGAGGGGGAGGGAGAGGGAGGGGGGGAGGGGGACAAGCTAGGTGCGCTCGCATCATATCTGACGTCCTACCCCTCCCTCCCATCCGTTACCATGGCGTAGGTCTCCTTTCTATTCGCACAGTCGGACGTCACAACATGACATAGCATTACATGGCATAGCATGGTGTTGAAGATCAACGCGTAGCATGACATAGCATGGCGTGGGACGCCCCAAAGTGGGGGGTTCTGCGGTCCAACAATGGAATCACTTCCGATGTGTTATTCGGGGGGGGCATTTTCTAGATTTTGAAACCTACTTGGAATGACCGAAAACCATGCCGTGGCATGGCACTGGAAATAATGACGCCAACGCTGCAGCGGGAGCACGATTCGGGACGAGCGGAACCGCGGAAATGAGGCCAGCGCTGCAGCGGGAGTACGATTCGGAATGAGCGGTAACCCGGAAGTGAAGCCAGCGCTTCAGCGAGAGCTCTTTGAAACAACCAAGCGCGGAATCGCGGAAATGAGGACACGCAGCCTGACATAGCAGAGCGTGGCGACGCCCCAAAGTGGGGGGCTTCTGCGGTGGAATTACTTCCGATGTGTTACTCGGGGGGGGGGCATTTTCTAGATGTGAAACCTCTTTGGAAAGACAGAAAACCATGCCGTGGCATGGCACAGGAGATAATGACGCCAACGCTGCAGCGGGAGCACGATTCGGGACGAGAGGATGCGCAGAAATGAGGCCAGCGCTGCAGCGGGAGCACGATTCGGAATGAGCGGTGACCCGAAAATGAAGCCAGCGCTTCAGCGAGAGCAGTATTTTGAAAAAAAAACCTAGCGAAAACCCAACTCCCAGGAACCCTCTGTAAAAAAACTATACGCGGAGGGGGGCCGAACAATCCCCGGACGCTACCAAGGGAGAGAGGAGAGTAGTATTCATGTTGCGTAACTGTGGAGGAGGAGGAGGAGAACGAGGAGGAGGAGGAGGTGGCGAGCAGGAGGAGGTGGCGAGGAGGAGGAGGAGGAGGAGGAGGACGAGGCAGGAGTACTGGTCCTAGGCCCAGGGTGGGCTTTCAGTCGCACCCCTCTCTGTCTTCATTTGATCATCATTAACTTGTGGATCTTTGCTGTCATCGTGCTCCTCCTTCTACCCGACTCCGCCCCCGCCGAGTATCTTCGCCGCACTGCCTGTCCTAGCACGGCGCTCTGGACCCTATCCCGTTGGGCCGTCTCGCGGTGGAGATGCTGTACTTCGGAGGCACGGTTCACCCAGGCGCCACCGCCCGTGCGGGCGTCGAGGCACCCGGTGCTGTGCACGCACTGACGCTTCAGGTGCCAGTGACTCAGCAGCGCGCCTAAGAAGAGTAACATCTGAAGGGACCATACCCCTTTGAGAACGGGCCTCCATTAAGAGACCCAGCATATTAGGGATAGGGGGTCTTGGTTGCAGATGGACCACCCAGATTGATGTTGTAAGGACTTAGGACCAGGGGGCCTCCAAAGAATGACCTCCTCTGAAGTCTCCACTCTCGTCAACGATCGCAGACTGAGCCTCCTCACCCTGTCCGAAGGGCAGGCAGACCATGCTGCAGATAGAGGGCGATACCGTGGAGAGGTGACTCACAGGCGGGCCTCAAAATGGTGGGCTGGGGACCCCAATACACCCAGCCTCCTTGCGTTCAACGCAGACAAAACGGCATCGGACCACCCAGATTGATCATCCCCACTGCAGGGGCGGGGACCTGAATTCGGCTACGTCTTCATTGCGCTCGTAAGGTTCACTCAGGGTTATCTTATTCCCCGTAGGATCCCCAGGGCCCCTAGTGATGCTCATCGCGCCCCGCCATGCGCGATCACCTTCGCGCTATCGCGCCGTCGTGCCGCCCGCGACGCGCGAAACGCGATTATCTTCGCACCCCTGGAGGTGACCCAGGGCGGCTCTTGGCAGCCGCAGCCCCCTGGCCGGACACCACCTGGCAGACCCGTGGCCGCACTGCGAAGCGCCATCCGCGAGGGCCTCAACCGCCGCGCTCGTGCCGTTTACGGCACGGACGACGGTCACCGCAGTGACACACGATAGCCCCGCCGAGGCATCGGCGCCGTCGGCGTGGGCAACGGGCTACACATGGGGCCGCATTCCCCGTGCATCGGCGATGCGGTGCGATCCTCCGACCCAGTCTACTCGGACCTCGTCTGGGAGGCCTGGAATAAAGGCGGGACGGCCTCTATAGCCGGACCTAAGACAGAAGAGCCTTCTTCAAGACCGTGAGACCCTCCGCCGGCCAAAACTCACAGGACATCCAAGGGTACCCTCCCCGAGATGCACAAGACCGTCCAACCAACAGGAAGAACATCAGGGTACCCTCCCCGAACCGACCTCGATCTTGTGCCTCGGTCGGACTGAACGGAGCCCACTTGCCCTGTTGGCAGAAGGGCACCCCCTCTGACGGCGCCTGCCTGCTCCGCGCCGCGGGCGAAGGAGGCGGAGGCCACCACCGCTCTTACGTCGACGTGAGAGGAACGGGTCCTGCGGGACACGACCCGTGGACCCGCGGAGCCTTCCCCCCGGACCAGCTGCTCGCCCCGAGCCGTTTTCGGCCCCCGTGCCCTCGGAGGGCCCCACAGGGGCCCGAGGGCTGCGGCCGCCAGGCGCGGGCTCCCCGAGGCAGCAGCCCCCCTCCCCAGCTGCAGGAGCCCGGGGACACACGGACACACAGATACGAGTCCCAGGAGTTCCTCGGCTATACGCAAGAGTGACCCTGGGTAAGAGTGACCTTTGGTGCGCGACTTTTTAGGGGCCGCGGGGGGGCCAAACCTGGGCGCGCAAGCAGCAGCTGCACTTCGTTTCCAGCCATCTGGGGGCCCATCTGTGCCCGCACCAAAGGTCACTCCGGCGACGAAAGGTCACTCTTACGTCTAGTCGATTTCCCACCACTTCCCCGGACACCTTCCCCGGAATCGACAGCCAGTCGTGCCTCTGTGCTTTCTCTCCCTCCGGATCGGCCCTCCTGCGGGGCCGGGCCCTGCGCGCGCTCGCCCAGGAGCCGCAGCGAGCCCCGTGGTTGGCCGGGGGCCCCTGGAGGGCGCAGCGGAGGCGGGGCCAGAGGGCCGTGCTGCGTGCGCACCGGGGCCCAGGGCCCATGGGCAGAACAAGTGACGGGGCCCCAGGACACACAAATAAATACACACAAATAAACATATTCCCCGTATTTTCCAATATTTTCTGGGTTTTTGTCTTCCCCCCCACTTCCCAGATTTTCCAATATTTTCTGGGAGTCGACGATTAATTGTGTCTGTGTGTTTTTTCCCCTCCTGAACAAGAGCGAGGAGCAGTCCCTGGCGGCGCGCCCACGGGGGCCGAGGGGCGGGGAGCGAGGCTTCCTGGATGGAGGCTGATGCTGCGAAGGCGCCGGCCCTACATCTCACCTCATGAGGCAACTAAGAACCCCCCTGTGTTATGGTTAACACCGAAACGAACACACATAATTCGTGGGGGCGAATTTAGCGGAGCGAAATCTTTGGTACCGCACGAGACCGCACAGAATTTGTAATTACCTCCCCCACGACATCTATAGCAAGGATTGGTGGTAAGAGCGCAAGACCCTAGAACGCCGAAGATGGCGAACTGCCAAAACCCTAGGGGCTGGCTAGTGAAAAACGCGAAAACTTATGATGGCAATGATGGCAAACTGTTCCTGTGGCGCTGAACTTCTGCGGCTCTGAACTCACTGAAAGCGTGCTGGGAACTTCCTGAGATCGCTCTCGAAAAATCGCTCCTCCTCCTCCTCCTCCTCCTCCTCCTCCTCCTCCTCCTCTCCCTCCTCCTCCTCCTCCTCCTCCTTCTCCTCCTCGTCCTCAGGGCGCCAGGATAGCGCTTCAAGGTACTGGGTGCGCCATCGCTTCGCCAGAAGAGGGGTTTCCCCACGGCCGGCGCCAAGCAGCCTTCCCCCCTCACCCCGCCGCGCGGGGCGCACCCCTCACCCCGCTCTCGCGCCGCCACCCCCAGGGGAAGAACAAGCGCAGCTCTCCGCGACCCGTGCAAGGGGGCCTGCGCCGCCGAGGCGACCCTCCCCCACCACTTGGGGGCCTGGAAATTGGCACCAACACCAACACAGGGGGGTGCCTCCACAGGAGGAAGATGATCCTAGATTTCGGTGTTGGTGGTTCGGTCACCTTGGAAGCCAGAATATCACCACCATCACCGAGATCGGGATCGTCTTCGCTCGCTCCGCCTCATCCTCCCCTGGCCCCGTGAGAGACGAGGCTGGGACGAGGATAAGAACGGGTGAGGAAAAAAGTCGAGAATCCCTGAGATCTGGCGGCTCTGGAGGAGGTCTCGGGCGCCGAAGCCATCTCGGAGCGTTCCAGAAAGCTCTGGGAGCGCTCTGGCACGCCCTGGAACGGATTCCTCCTCGTCCTCGCCCCGTCCGGCCCTACCTGTCTTCTCCTTCCAGACCGACCCCAAGGCCCCTCTACTCGCCATGGCTCGGACGTCCATTCCGTGTGTTTTCTTCGATTTCGTGCGTGGCTTTTCCGCCAAATGATCAAGGATGCTCCTCGATGGTCCTCGCCGAAGGAAAAATGCACACGTCCGAGCGACGCCAAGACCTACCCTTCCTTCTCCTTCCAGACCGACCCCCCGGCCCCCTCTGGGGGCACGCGTTCCGGCCAGGACGTCGAGGCGCCAGCAGCCGCGGCGACGAGGGCCCCCCCCGAGGCTCGAGAGGGCAGTCACGTCGCATGTAGGGCCTCACGTGATAGCTGGCCATCGCTCGGACGTCCGTTCCCTGTGCTTTTTGGCGGTTCGTGCGTGGCCTTTTCGCCAAATGATCAAGGATACTCCTCGAGCGTCCTCGCCGAAGGAAAATTGCACACGTCCGAGACTTCCTCGGGAGCCCAACTCCAAGATGCCACCAATATGTTTGTTTTGCAGGGTATTCCGGCGGCCGCCTCGGATTAGTAACATAAAACGGGGGCCTCACAAGAAGGGGCTCCATCTTCAGACTTCCTCGCGTTCACTTATTGGCGAGCGCCCGAGACATCCTCTCAAAGCGCTCCTCAGGAACGAGGCAACCGCTCGAGACTTCTTTGGGATTCAGGCTCCATAGTGTCACCAAACCTGTGTTTGCGCATGGTATTTCGATGGCCGCCTCAGATTACCAACATGAAGAGGGGATCCCATAGGGAGGGCCCCCCGCTCGAGATTACCTCGCCGTGCTCTTATAGACGAGCCCCCCGCTCGAGACTTACTCAAAGGCTCATGTGTGAGTGTGTGAGCGAGTGTGTGTGTGTGTGTGCGATGACGGTGATGGTGATGGTGATAGATGATTGTGTGAGTGTGCGACTGAGTGTGTGTGTGTGAGTTGAGTGCGTGCGATGATAGGAGGCGGGGGGGGTGAGGAGTACTGCGCAGGAGTGTCCAGAGAAAATCAGAGTCCCACTCCCTCCTCCTCCGCCTCTTCCCCCTTTTCCTGACGTTTTTGACGTTCTGCCGAATGAACATACTATGCCGCGCAAGCGGCATGTAAACTGCACGTACAGTATACGCATACAATTATATCGGCCGCGCAGCGGTGGCAAGGCGGTGGCAGCTTGCGCGCCTGGCTGCAGCAATGCGGCGGCAACTTGCGCGCCTGGTGATGCCTCCTCCTCATCCTCCTCATCCTTCCCTTGTGTCCTACCCTGCACTGACCCCTCCGCCATCCCCCCCGCTTCGGACGCCGGCGGGTCACTGTCGGAGCTCACCACCCGCATGGCGGCGCCGCTCAGCACGTAGGACGGCCGCACCTGGGACCCCGCCAACCGACGCGCGGGCGATGCAGAGGGCTCCCGTGCTGCCCGCCACCGTGCCCACGGGTTCGTTGAGGCGTGGTAGAATGTCAAATGAACCTCAAAAGACACGGGTCTCACGCGAGACGACATAGCGACCCACCGCCGCGGTCTAAGCGGGCCGCCAACGCGGTACACCACGTGGAGAACAAGAAACTTTACAAGCGACCTTACGCGCCAAACTTGCGCACGAATGTCCGCAGTCTCCACCCCGTGTTCTCCCTTTGCTCAGATGCTGCTTTGCAGGGCTTCTTTGATTTGCTGGCGGAATTCTTTTCTCCTGGCTTCCGCGGGCGTGCAGACCCCTCTCCTCCTGCCCCTGCACCCCCCCTCCTGCTCCTCGCAAAGAGGTATGTTCTGGTGGAAACTCTGTTTGTCGCGCAACAAGTCCGAAACACGACAGGCAAATCGCGTCTGTCTTCGTGCTCCCACCCACCCTGGCCCAAAGCGTGGTGCGCGATTCTCTTCGAGCTCGTGCACGTGACCTAGGATGACCAGACAGCTCCCCCTTGTCCCCCCGCCAGGTCAACGTCAAAGGGCGAGCGACTGTACGGGCAAAGCACGACGACGAATGCCGTGATGGATCAAGATTAGGGTACTGAAGAGGTCGACATACACGAGAATGCTGACTTGCAGGTGGGCGTGGCGAGTGGTAAAAGTAGAAATGGATGATGACGATCATAGTGCCATTCATGGCCAGAGGCATTTTGAACCAAACCGCCCCCCCTGAAGCTGCAGCAAATTCTTACCCACACGCCTAAAACTGCAATCCAACAACGCTCACCCTCTGGTCACCAGCATCACATTGCAAACACATATCCCACCCACTAGCCTCACACGGCCACCCGAACAGCCTCACCCATCTGGGCAAAAGAGCAACACGAGGTCTCCCACACACACTCACCCAAAACGGCCACGCAAGTATCCGCACGCAAGCGCTTAAAGCCTACAAATACCCACTCACCCACCCACCGAACACTGCCCTCCCAATATCCTCACCCACCGCCCGTGAGATAGCACCCCAAACTGAAGGGGCCCCAGGACACACACAAATAAATACACACAAATAAAAATATTCCCCATATTTTCCCATATGTCCTGGGTTTTTGTCTTCCCACCCACTTCCCATATTTTCACATTTTTCTGGGAAGTCGACGATTAATTGTGTCTGTGTGTTTTTTCCCCTCCTGACAAACATCCCCACCCTCTCGCCTAGAACTCTCACCCGGACATCGTCACCCACCAGCCTGCAACCGCCGCCCAGCTGAAACCGCAGCCCACAGACAGGGGGGCGGTCGGCCGACGTGGCAGGGCGGGGGGCGCGCGTGCTGCAGTGGCAGCCACGGGCGCGAGCGAGGACTCCAGGGTAGACAGACCCCCATCTAGCAAAGCACCCTATACTATGAAAACGACCAAGGCCCAGATCCGGCGGACGCAGGCCCGCAGACATGGCGGCCGCCACGCCCTCTCGAAAACCGGCCGACAGGGCAACTCGCCCATCGGCAGGGCTTCGATCACTCCGAAAGACGGAGGTACCTCTCAGACATGCGACGTCCTCATTTCTTCCAATGCGCGGTCCCCGGAAGTCCCGACCCTTTCCCGGGGACCGATTCTTCATCCCGAGCTGTTTTCGGACGGTCCCGGGGCCCGGTGAGGTCTCCGAGAGGCCGAAATCGACGAAAAACTCAACGTCCCGATTTTGTCACGACGTGAGCACGTCTGGGCTGGGCCCTGGGGACGGGACAGAGCCCCCACTTCGGACCGCCGCCGCCGCTGCGCACGCGCGCGACCAGCCGGCCGGGGTGGCTCTCTGCTGCCGGCTGCCGCACCAGCACGGGGTACTGGGCGCGCTTGCAGAAGTGAAAGGCCTGCACGCGTGGTGGAGCGTGGCGTGCGGAGGAAACTAAGACGAAGGCAGAATCGAGGCGAAATTGGACCGACACAAATCGGCGGGTGTGGAGGAGGTATCGGGCGCCGCCGCCGTTCCAGAGCGTTCCGGAACGCTCTGAATCTCGATCCTAGGCGAGCCCGTTGTGAACGGTAGAAGAGGAGGCGGAGAAGAAAGGGAGGGGTGGAAAGGAGAAAGGACGCGACGATAAGGAGGAAGACGCACAGAGTGAACATGAGGAGGGGAACGACACGGGGCCTCGGGCTGGCCTCAGCCGGCGCGAATCGATCGTCTTTGGAGCTGTAGCGCGGGGTCGGGTGCCCCCGGCGCCGGTGGACACCCTGACCGCCCTGCTCTGTTGCCATGAAGGCAGATCGAGCCGCCCCGCTCGCACGAGGGCGGGCCCAGGAAGAGCACCGGGGAGCAAGAGCATGCGTCGGTGCGCCCCAAACGACCAGGAGGAAGGACTGGAAAGGGAGGGAGGAAGTTGGACGGAAGAGGGGAAACACAGACAGCATCGCAACTCTCATGACAGGGGAGCGCGCGTCCCAGAGCCTCCACGGCTCGCCTCTGCCTTCGGGCCGCCTGCCTCCTCGAGCTCCTAGAGTCCCCCCCCCCCATCCACGGATACCACCCATGTCTCGGGGGCGCCAAAGAGGGGTGTTCGCAAAGCATGGCTCGAGGCACGTGCGCGGACAGAGGGAGGCCAGGCCCCCGCCATGACACCCGCCCCTCCCCCTCGACCGCGAGAAATCACGACCAGAGCCCTAGATCCCATCCATTGCGTCGCGCTTCGAGCGGGCTGAATCTGCGAGGGCTCCAGGGCCCGAAGCCGGGCGAAAAGGCCCGCTGTGAACAAATCGCAGGGCCAAGATCTCAGGGGTCACCACCCCCCCTCGGCCGCACCAGAATTTGTCATTCCGAGCAGGGGGGAGGTGGGGGGGGGGGGGGGCAAAACTGACAGCGGCCGCTGTTGGGCAGGCGGCATTCTGCCTCAAATGGACAACGTCCGCGGCGACACCGACAGAGAGCCCTGTTCAACATGAATAAGACATGATGTCGGCGTTCGCACCCCCTCTTTCCGCACCCGTTTCGTCCCGAGCCTTTTCTTGTAACGGCCCGGGGGAAGGGGGGGGGCAACACCGACAGCGGCCGCTGTTGGGCAGGTGGCCTTCTGCCTCAAATGGACAGCGCCTGCGGCGACACCGACAGCGAGACCTGTGCAAAGCGAGCCAACAAGAAATGCGGTCGCTCTTTACAGCCCTCCTTGCCGAGTGCCCGCCGTTCGCCCCGACCAGCCACAACCACCCCCTCGGCAGCCCCAGAGCTTGTCATGCCGAGCCCTTCTCCTGGACGGCCCCCAGACGCCACGGACTGGGCGGGCCTCCCTGGCGCGGCCTCTCCGCAGTCGATCCGGGCGGCTGGGAGCCTGCACGCCGACACTGGAAGGCTCCTCGCCCCTGCGCGCCCACACCGGACGGGAGACTCCGAACACGCAACCGAAGTGAGGCCTGCAGGCTAAACGTAGGCGCACGTGCTCAAGGAGAGCCAGAAGAGAGGAGAGGGAAGAGAAGCAAAGAGAGAGAGAGAGAGATAGCGAGAAAAGGCCAGAGAACCTCCACCCAGACCCCTCCTCGATCGGCCAGGCACGGATCATCTCTCATCGTCCCATCCTCCTCCTCCTCCTCCTCCTCCTCCTCCTCCTCTTCCTCCTCCTCCGCCTCCTCCTCCTCCGCCTCGTCATCTTCCGCACCATCGTTCTCGTCCTCGTCCGCGTCGTGCTCGGGGCGAAATCGCCGGTGGGCGCTCCCGTCCTGAGTACGGCAGTCCGCACTGCTCACTGCGAGGGCCAACCTCCTCCTCCTCCTCCTCCTCCTAATCCTGCCCCTCTCGATCCTCCTCCTCCTCCTCCTCTTCTTCTTCTTCTTATTATTATTATTCTTCGCATGTTCTTCTTATTTTTCTTTTTCTTTTTCTTGTTCTTGTTTTTTTTTCTTTTTTTATTTTTTTTATGTTTCTTATTATTGTTCTTCTTCTTATTATTATTATTATTCTTCTTATTCTTATTATCCTTCTTCTTCTTCTGCTTCTGCTTCTGCTTCTGCTTCTGCTTCTGCTTCTGCTTCTGTTTCTGCTTCTGCTTCTGCTTCTGCTTCTGCTTCTGCTTCTGCTTCTGCTTCTGCTTCTGCTTCTGCTTCTGCTTCTGCTTCTGCTTCTGCTTCTGCTTCTGCTTCTGCTTCTGCTTCTGCTTCTGCTTCTGCTTCTGCTTCTGCTTCTGCTTCTGCTTATGCGTCTGCTTCTGTTTCTGCTTATGCTTCTGCTTCTGCTTCTGCTTTTTCTTCTTATTCTTCTTCGTATGCTTCTTCTTCTTATTATTCTTCTTCGTCTTATTCTTCGTTTTCTTATTATTATTCTTCGTCTTATTAGTATTCTTCTTATTCGTCTTATTCTTCTTATTATTATTCTTCGGCTTCTTCTTCTTCGTATTCTTATTCTTCGTCTTCGTCTTCTTATTATTATTCTTCTTCGTCTTCTTCTGCTTCTTATTATTATTATTATTATTATTCTTCGTCGTCTTCTTCTTCGTCTTCGTCTTCTTCTTCTTATTCTTCTTATTCTTCTTATTCTTATTATTCTTCTTCGTCTTCTTCTTCGTCTTCTTATTCGTCTTCTTCTTCCTCTTCCTCCTCCTCCTCCTCCTCCTCCTCCTCCTCTGCTTCTTCCTCTTCCTCCTCCTCCTCCTCCTCCTCCTCCTCCTCCTCC